GTCACCTCAGCCTGCTGTCACCCCACAGGCTGCTGTGACCTCATGGCCAGCGTGGAATTTTGTGGGGAGTGGGATCTGCCTTCTTCACTAGGGAGCTCATCCTGCCCAGCAGCTCTGTCCAAGGGCTATGACAGGGTCCCAGCCCAGCTGATCTCACAGGCTGGGGGATGAAGGGATGGAGAGCAGCCCTGCTGAGAAGGACTTGTGGCTGCTGCAAGGAGAGAGGCTGGACATGAGCCAGCCATGTGCCTCCAAAGGAGGCTGCCCAGCAGCTTGAAGGAGGTGATTCCACCACCCCTCTGCTCTGGTGTGAGCCCACCTGGAGTACTGCATCCACCTCTGGGTGCCCAGCACAGAAAGGACATGGTCCTGTTGGAGCTAGTCCAGAGGAGGGACAGAATGCTCTGAGGGCTGGAGCCCCTCTGCTTTGGAGACAGGCTGGGATAGCTGGGGGTGTTCAGCCTGGAAGAGGGAAGGCTCCACGCAGACCTGATTGCTACCTTTCAGTACTTTAAGGGAGCTTTTAGAAAAGACAGGACAGAATTTTTAGTAGGGCCTGTTGTGACAAGACTGAGGAGGAATGTTTTCAATCTAAAAGACAGTAAATTCAGACTAGACATAATGAAGATGTTTTTTACACTGTGGGTTTTGAAACCCTGGCACAGGTTGCCCAGAGAGGTGGGCATCCATCCCTGCTGACATTCAAGCTCATGCTCTGAGCAACCTGATCCAAAGGTGTCCCTGCTCACTGCAGGGCACTGCACTAGATGGCCTTTAAATGTCCCTTCCAAGCCAAGCCATTCTGTGCTGCTGTGCACCAGTAGAGCAGTGCTGGAATAATGCTGGGGTGATGATGCTGGCACCTGTGTTTTGGTAGTTGTGCCATTTAGCTGTTGGCCAAGAGAGGATTGATGGGCTGCACAGTGAAGTCTGCAAAGAACAGTGTGCTCAAGGAGAAACAGGAGAGGAACAGGGCTTCCAGCTCAGATAAATGCCAGCATTTTGCTGCCCATTTCTTGTTAAGAAATAAAGCAATGTTCTGAAGATCCCTTCAGTGTGGGTGCACTATTGGCTGTATCAGTGCTTGTGTTCTGTAAAACAGGTGAGTTGTTACAGCTTCTTGCCCCATTTACCACTGGATAAAACCCAAATACTGCATTGCTCCATGTCTCCTTTCTTCCAAGTAAAGGCAGATTTTTGTTCATTCTTCAGTGGGACATATTCATCTGTTGACAAGCAAATTCTTCTTGCCATTCACACAATGTTGATTTGCTCTAATCACATTATAATTAAGACCTACCTCTCACTGTAATTAAGGCTGATGGATTGTGAGGCAAAGTGTTGCATCATTTTCCCTGGAGAGAGTTTTTCTCTAATTCAATGACATTTGAAGACAGCTGTAGCCTACCATACTTCTGGCATACTAGAAATGAAAAAACAGCCATGGAAACAGGCTGTTCTATCCTTTCCTCCTCCTCCCTGAAGTCTGAGCTCTTCAGCTGCCTCACAAACATTGTTTTATTTCACACAGGCATCCATCAGGACAGTGGCTGTGAAGCTTGGAACAATGTAGGTTTAGAGCAGCAAAAATAATAATCCATTTCCCAGGTTAAGCCAAGCATTTCCCAAATAACTCTAGCTATCCTCAGGGATGTTTCCAAAAGTATCATAGTAAATGTTGGGAGCGGGGGAGAGAATGTGAACAAAATTAAAAATACAGCTTTCTGAGATCTTTTTATTCCTATAAAAACAGAGTCAAAATTGTTTATAGATAGAACATTAACTAAGAAGTGAACAACAGATTTTCAAGATAATTGCTTAGGAAACAAAAATATCTAAATAAAAATAAGTTAACATGTGGATTTATAAGAAAACAAACATACTAAGAAAAAATAGACCTACAAAATCTAAAACCAATAAGGCTGCCTCATCTGTCTCAATATCAAAAAAAACCAAAACACAAACACCATTGAAAAGAATCAGATCCTCAAGACCATTACTACATACAGGACCCTCCAGGTAATGGGAATAAACAAAGGAACTTTTGGACAGTTTTTTTTTCTCCTTGGGCTGGGGGAGCTGTCACAGGGAAGGGAGGGTCAGGGGTGGCAGTGGCTGCTCAGGGATGGGTTTGGCCCGTGTCCCTGGAAGGAGCCACTGTCCAAGCAGCTGTGCTGTCCCCGGACTCTGCTCTCAGCTTTCTGGGCTCTGTTGGGGGGCACAGCCTGTGCCAAGGGGTGCCAAGGTGCCTGCAGGCCCCAGCTCTGGGGGAAACAGAGAACGTCCTGGCCGTATCCAGCGTGCTGCCAGCTCAGCAGTGGAGCACAGCACAGGCTCACGCTGCCCATTGCTCTCACAGATGCAGCCGGCACCACAAGACATGCTCAGAAGATCTGGGAGAGCATGAGAAGAGTTTTCTACCAGGGAACACATGGTTTGATTAAGTTAATGGCCACTGTGGCTGGTGGAGCACTTTTCCTGATGATGTGCTATGCTGGAATCTGGTATTGCTGGAAGAGAAAACGGTGAGTGTTTTGCTGATCTCGGCCTCAAGCAGTCGGGAAGCACTCCCAGTGAGGCTGCTGTGCACTTGTGGCTAGTCCTTAGTTGCCCAAATAACTCTGCCAAGAGTTCTGCTGCTGCCCAGGCCTTTAATTGGCCTCTTAATTGCTGGGCTTTGTCCTGGGGAGCCCGCTGGGGCTGCAGCCAGTGCTGGCTGCCACTGAGGCTGCCTGGCCAAGAGCAGCCCCAGGAGCAGCGGGCAGAGGCAAAGCAAGGTGGGCAGGAGAAAGAGCGGGGACGAGATTGCCCTTGAAAGGCAGAGGCGCTCTGGGGCCCGCTCCTTGCCAGGGACCCTGCCCAGAGCCATCCCCTGCTCGCCGGGGCCTTGAGGGGCAGCTGTCCAGCTGGGCCAAGCTGTGCCAGCAGCTCCAGCCGTGCTGGGGAGCCTTGGCCGCTCTGGGCCCTGCTGTGCAGGAGGGTCCCTGCGTGCCAGCGGCAGCTGGGGGCCTCAGCCACCTCCTCTCTCCACAGGAGCACCTCTGCACCTTCAGAACAGCAGCCAAAGACTTTAATCACCGAGAAGCTGACCTCTCATCCCCACTCTTCACCTCTGTCTCCCTCTGCTCTGCTGCGGCTCCATCCCCATCTTGAGTGCGTCCCAAGACCCACACCTGCAAAGTGAGACCCTCTGCCCCTGAGCCTCCTGGCCCTGGTCCCTGGCCAGGACTGAAATTGGGCAGCCCCTGTCCACCAGAGCAGGGCTTGGCCTATGGTTTTTGTTCCAATAAAGAGATGGAGATTTCACCTCAGTGTCTGGATGGCACCACCAGCAAAGCCCTCATGGCACCAGCCCCTGCTGAGCTCCATGTCCAGGAGCAGCCAGGGGTGTCCACAGTGTGGACAGGCAGGAGCCAGGCAGGGGCTGCCATGACCAGTGGTGGGGCCACGAGGGGCTGGGGGAGCCCATGCTGAGCGTCCCTGGGCTGTGAGGGCACATTTCCTTCAGTGGCATCACCTGGGCCTGCACCTCATGAGGCACCCAGGGCTAATTTGGGCTCTCTGCTAAGGTGTGCAGGGATCCCCCATGAGGTGTGCAGTGGGGTTAAATTGAGAGGGTTTTTTCCTCTTCTCAGCACAGCAAAGGGGACACTCTTGGCTGAGGTTTTGCAGAGCTGGGAGGAAGCCTCTTGCGAGCCCTTGGGCCCGGCCTGTGGGCACAGCGGGCAGGCAGAGCCCATCCCTTGAGGCCAGTCCGGGCTGCTCGGGCCGGGCCGGGCCGGGCCAGGTGAGGGCCCCGGCAGGGAAGGGCCATGGCCGTGGGCTCTGATGAGGCTGCCGAGCTTCACCCTGGCCCTGTGCTGCAGCCAAACACACATTTACAGCCACAGCCATTCTCTGGGGCACAGGAGGCCCCCAGGGCTAGAACTGAGGCCATGACTTCTCACCCTGAAGGGAGGCTGGCTCTCTTGGTTTGGAGGGCACAGCTTAGATCCCAGTTCCTTTTGTAAACCTGCTGGGGAAGTGTGGAGGGG